TTTATATTTATATTACAGGTTTCATGTTCTGTAGTTGCAATTCACTTGTTTTTGTCACAGACAGCACAAGACTCTTGGTGTTACAGAATCTATGTGAATGTTTAGGTATATGCTAAAGCAGCCACCATTGAGACTTGCCAGGTAGATTAGAAATTAAATATCACGTTTAATTGCTTTGTCAGTGGTAATGCTCATATATTGTTTTCATTTGTTTAGGGTATTTCTGGTTGTCAGCATGCTTTTTTTTTCATCTTGCATTTGCTATCTTACTTGGTAGTAGTTCATTTCTTGTCAGTTATTTGAGATTTTGTTGTGTCACCATATGTTGTTCAGTTTTTAGAAATATCAGTTTATCAGTTTACTGTTCAGTTTTCCTTTAAGATTACTGAGTTGTGCTAGAATATTAGAGCTCATAAGAGGACTAAGTCATTGGGTTGTGACATGAGGCATATGGGTGTTATACTGTGTTTTATTAGCTGAAGAGGCCCTGGTTGTGTTCTGCTGGGGAAATCCAATAATTTTGAGTATGTTTCTAGCCACAGTGAAATCAGTTACATGATAGCTTTGGCACATTAAAAAAAAATAAAAAAGCATTATATACTATATAAATGATTCCTGTCTAAATAATAGTTAATTCAGTACTGCTAAACTGAAAAGTGTCCCTATTCATGTTTTTGTTAACCTAGGAAACTGAACTTTCAACCTGTAATGGTAGTATTTAGATACTGGCTGATTTTCTGCTGTTTTAAAAATTCTATTAGCAATTCCTGGAGCATTCCAATTTTTATATAAATAATGCAATTGGGTAGTAGTAATGTTAAATTTAGCCTACATTCAGTATGTTTTGTAAAGTGATTATCATCTTGAATTGCCTGGAATTAAATGTATCGCAGAGTACAAAGTTACAGATGTAATCTGTTTATCAGAAAGATAAGCTGTTGTATTCTGTTCTAGCCTTCTGAATGAATGTGAAAAACTAATGTGTATAGATTTTTTTTTTTTGAAATAAGTATCTAGCAGGATATCTGGATAATAATTTAAAGTTATTTTTAAGGAAAATACTTTTTTTTTGTTCACTAGATGGAAAATTAAAATATTTCTGTCTATCATGACATAAATGTTACTTCCACTGAAATCAGAAATTTGGAAATCATTATAAAAATCTGTGGGTGGAGGCATCTGTTATTAGCGGAAGCTGCAGTGAACTAAAATACCTCTGCCAAAACACCACTTGTCTTACCTGTGCTAAAGCTATTTTCAGTCGTATATTTCTCTTAGTTGGATAATGTGAATAAAGAGATCTAGATATATCCTAGTTTGATGAAACTCACCTTAATATCTGCAAATTCCAATACGGAACACTATAATGTTTCACAGTTTTCTGCAGTTGCTTTCTGTAAAAGAAAAATATGTAATTTCTTATATATTGAGCAAATATATTTATTGAGCAAATCATTTGTTTTCCCAAAATTTATGAACCACTTGACACTTAAATGAGGGGATACATGAGTGTAGACCATCTGGGCTTTCTTCGAAAGGAGCTGTGGATATTTTAGTGGCTCAGACCAGTACTTCTAAAATGTACATTCTGTCTGCCTAAACATGTGAAATTCTTCATTCATGAAGCATCTTTTCTAAAACAGATACTCATATGAAAATACAGTTGGAAGGAATACTACAGTGTACTGTTCACATCTATCATTAAAAAAGTTTTATTAACCAAAGAATGACTTTACTTAATTAACTGTGCCTGTAAGCAGTTCTCTAGGCATCTGTCATATCAATAAAATTGAACAGGGTCCATAGGTAGAACTTGCAGAAGTCATTTCTTGTTCTCTGTGATATAAGGAAACTTTCTTTCTGGAGGGAGGAGGATGGGGCTGGCCTCTTTTCAGTGGTGCCCAGCGATAGGACAAGAGGAAACAGCCACAGACTGAAGCACCAGAAGTTCCACATGAACTTAAGGAAAAATGTCTTTCCTGTGAGGGTGACAGAGCCCTGGCACAGGCTGCCCAGAGAGGCTGTGGAGTCTCCTTCTCTGGGGATCTTCAAAACCCTCCTGTGCCACCTGCTCTAGGTGTCCCTGCTGGAGCAGGGGGGTTGGACTAGGTGATCTCTAGAGGCCCTTTCCAGCCTTAACCATTCTGTGGTTCTGTGGTTCTGTGAATGGACATCCAGGCCAAACCAAAGCAAGTGGAAAGACATTCCCACTGAGGCTGTGACCCACACTGAGGCTAGCCATTTGTCCTTCTGACAAAATTACCTTTCAGTTTTAGCAATATTTCTCCTTGTTCTTTCAGATATTGTCTCATTTCTTTTTTTTTGTGAATCAAATTTATTATAACAGTATTGCCAAACTGAAGAATTTAACCATCAAGTACATTGGTTGTGTGTGGTTGATCTTGTACAACTGAGATCACTTTTAGGCGCTTTCTTAATAGGTCCTTGATATCATTAAAACTAAAGCAGTCCTCCACAATTTGCAGAATTTTCTCTTATTATATTTTCTAAAAGGTGAAGACTTAGGATGCTGAATATTGATGAGCTCAAATTCTAATTTATCACTTTCCTCTTGAAAGTTTTATTCAGTCAATTTTTTAGTTTACGGAGCAGCACACATTTACAAAAGTGTTATTTTTGCTTTCTGTGTGATGCATTCCTTCTGTATTATGATTTGGCATAATATTTGCTTTCACAGTTATTGAAAGCAGTTCTGTTCTTTGTGGCTGGCATATGTTTTACCTCTGTAGCTTGATTGCATTTTTAGTTTGATTGTTCAACTGTTTTGCTCAGCCTGCTAAACTTTCCATTTGCAAGGAGTAATTCTTGCTGTCTTTGCATATAACTTTTCTTTGCAAAATCAAGTTTGATTTTCCAAACCCCTTTTGTTGATCTGGTACCTGGTCATGTTGCAAATAATTTGTCCTCTAAATAATAAGTCTCTAATTTTAACTGCTTTAATTCATGGAAACAGATATGTTGAAGACACACCATGTGTTGTTTTATTTATGTATCTTCCCAGTCTTTCGAAATGTAATTCAGTGAGCAGTTAACAAAGTCATCACAATATCATGTGTTTTTCTGGTTCCAAAAATATCTTCTTGAAGAACTGAGTTCCACACAAAATAAAAGTAGTCATAAAATTAAACACAGATAACTGTAGTAGAAAAATATGGACTGCGTAATCGTTGCTTTTTGTAAGTGCATCCTTGAACTGAGTAACTATAAAACACACTATGATTTACAGTGGTTAGAGTTTTGTTTAAAACTGGAGATTATTTTACTCCTTTGTTTTTAGAACTAATGCATAAATAATCTGTTTTTTATTATAAGATGGTATTTCTAGCTGACTGCCCTAAAAACCAATTGTGTCTATTTTAAAACTGCCATCTAGTTCATGAATCTATGAAATATATTCATCTAATTATTGAATATTGATAATTCAAGATTTGCATTGTAATACTTCAGCCTTTTACTTGTATATAAGGAGTGTTGGTTGATCTGGGCAAAACTGATGGTACACAAAAAGAGCTACCATTTAGAGGTCTTTTGGGGAACTAGATTGAGTGACTTGACGAATTCATACTACTTAGCAATGTGTAATTCCTTCGTAAAAACACTAAGAACAATGTCTTAGTAATTTCCCAGCAATTATGAAAAAAATAAAATTACTTTTTTTTCAGAATTTAACTCTATAACAGAGTTCTATTGTGTTGAAAAGTATTTTATTATCGCTACTTTGGAAAATTTATGGTGGCTATTTTGGGGCGATTTTTACTCAAAAAATAATGGTATTGGGAAAGAAATTAAGCAAGTCCTGTGCATCTGCTCATAATGAGCTTATAACTTCATTAGCTTTATAGTATTTAGCCAATGTGATTGGTTGGAATTTGGATTCACACTGAAGATCAAAATTCATTATTTTATCTTGCATAAAACTTATATTTTATGTATATGATTAAAAGCTTCAGACTGGCAAATGGATCATCTTGTTTCTGCTTTGGTGTTGAGGAAGTCAGGAAATGGGAGCTCATGGAATTTGTTTTTCTTTAATAAGAGTGAGCAAAGACGTACTGCTTTCAGGGTGACTGCCTACCCAACACCTTTCTGGTACTATTGATACATCCCTTTCTTGACTTTGTAAACCAATCACTTAGTAGTTTCTTAAGTAGTACAATGCTTTTGTAAGGGGTCAATATTTAAAGTACTAATTTTTTAATGTGAAAGTACTACATTTAAAAGTAGTCTCTTGTTATAGTTTAAATTCTTCCTCCATACTGAAACTACTCAGTGGCTGGAAGGCTTTAACAGCATTATTAAATTAATAAGAAGACGATAAGAAGAAAAGAATGGAAATTCAGTGTAATACTTTTCATTCAAAGTCAACAAATTACACATTATTTGCCTTTTAGTTTATATGGTGAATCACGAGTACCTTCAAGAAGATCCAAAAAGAAAAAGGCAAGAGTAAGTTAAAACACAACTTTTTAATGTGCATTTTAAATATGTTTCTAGGGTATGTTTTGGTTATACATATTATAAGATGTTGTGACGTTACGGACAGGATAATAAAAGTATTGTAATTTAGACTCTAATTTAGGTTATGTTGATTTAAATATTTGCATTTTATGTAAATTAAATCTAGATAGTTATATAGAGAAATGTATAACTTTTTGAGCTGACAGTATCTCCCGTAAGTGTTCCTATAATATTATTTTTACATTGATCCTTATCCTCAAGTTCTAAATCTTTATTCTTCTTAGTACCTTGTGTCAAATTTACTTTTTCTCTGAATTGTACAAGAAGAGTATGTAGTTTAATATTCATTTTTAAAAGATAGAAAAAGGTTTTGTTAGAATTAAAACTCACACATCATAGTGTAAATTAAAAAAAAAGAAAAAGAAAACTTTTATTTCTGTCTTCAGTTACAAATATACATAGAGTTATTTCTGCCTATGAGTTAGACGGTGAAACACAAGACATCTGTATATCTGTTGATTAACTGACTGAAATTATCAAGATATAAATAATAAATAAAGAGATCTTCTAATTAAACATCTGCAAACTAGATACAGTGCTATAAGTGCTTTATAATAATGAGGTATTTATAATTATTAATACTCTAAAGATATTAGGAACTATTATGTGAAAGATGCAAAGAAATATGTTAGTCAATTTTTCCTAATCAGAATGTAAAGGCCCAGGAAGTAGTGATCTTGGTGATCTTCATTATGAAACACGTAGATTAACTCCTGGAGGGAGAAAAACTTTTTTTTGGGGGAAGGATTGTTAATTCCTGGGACAAAATGCAAATGGATTTGTAGGATATAGTCCCTAGAGATTTGTGTCAGTCAGATGCTCACAGCTCTCTGTTGGGAAAGATTTTGTTATGCTTGAGCTTGCTTGGAGAAAGTGATACGCTCAGTGCTGGTGTCTTTCCCGTCCTTTAGCGCAGGGTTTGTGAGCTCTTGGTCATCCAGTCTGATCCATAGTGTACATGTGGTACATTTTTCACAGAATCAAAATCAAACAACACTTTAGAAAGTGTTTTCGTTGCCTTTAAGCTCCAAGCAACAGACAGTGCAGCACTGCTGCTAAGAAGGTATTCTAGTATCTAACTATATTCACCACTAGAAAATTTTATTATTTCAAGACTGCATTTATCTCTTCAGCATTCTTCCCCCTGGATTTTTTCTGCCCTTGTCTGAAGCTTAAAAGCTCCCCTGTTGTCAGATCTCTCTCACATGAATAAGTAGCTAAGCTTAAGTGTAAGCGTCTTACCTGTAAGACAGGTAGGTATAAGTAGGAACTCCATAGTGATAAGCTGAATGGATTGATATCTGTGAGTACACACTTAAATGAAGACTATTTTCCAATCTATGGATCATTTTAAGTTCTCTGAACTTCCGTATTTCCTTGACGTGCCATGTTAGTCATGACTAACAAATGCTGTATGTAGAGGCATAACTTTCTTAACTGCACTTTATGCCTTTATCATTGCCTTTTGCACTGCTCAGTGCCTTTTGCACTGAGAGTTCATAATGAGGTGGCCAACTATAGTAACTTCTCCTTACAGTTAATCTTTCAAATCAAGAATGTCTCTATTTTTAGACAAAAATCCTTGTCCAGAGATACATTTCATCATATTCAGATATATTAAAACATACTTGCTGACATTTAAATTAGCTGCAATTATTCTGTAACAATATCCTGCCCTCCTTATAATTGCTAGTCAAATAATCTTTATACTTCCTACAAACTTTTTCATAAGAGATTAAATCATTGCTTGGATTGCAGATAAAAGCACTGAATAAGGTTAAAAGAATTAATCCCTCCATGTTCAAGACACTTTGAAGTCAGGAAATGTCCCAACATCATCATAAAACAAAACTATCCTGTATTCTTGTTTATCTGAGTCATATTACTGATATAAGCAAAAATGTTGTGCATGGGAAGTATTGGGCTGATATTTATCCAGAATGATTTTTAAAATCCTGCGTCAGATTCCCCATTCACAAGAAATGATAAACAGTCCTCTATTCCCAAGTCATTTTTATAAAGTTTACCATATGGAAATCATAGGCTTTTTAATTATAAATCCATCTGTCCAATTGTTTCAAAGGCCACTTTTTTATGCTTTTAAGAGCTGGAAGATGAAGCAAAATCATGATTGTTGAATCTCAACAGCTCCCATATCTCTTCTTTTTTTTTTTGATAGCTATATCTTAAAACTGGCATCTTCCCCTGATAACAAACCCACTTTCAAGCCTGTTATTAGCCATTTCTGGCATTTGGAAAAGCACTGCATGCATTTTAAAGACTGTCAAACAGCAAGACTTTTGATTAATATATACTTCGAGTGTTTTTTTATGCTGCGCAGTTTTTATATGGTCCAGTTGACCATTTCTTCATTATTTACCGTCTTGTTTTCTGCTATTAATATAGCACATTCAGCATGTATGAAAGTTCCAGATGCATTAGTCATAATGCTAGAAATAACACTGCACTGATGTTACGCAAACGTTGGCTGCTTGTAATACATTGAGAGATTAAGTCTGTATCCTGACCTGAAGTCCACTCATAGTGAAAGCAAGATGTAAGGATTCAGAAATATTTGCATAATAAACACAGGAGAGGTATTAGGCAAAGGCCAGAAACATTTCAAGAAGTGGGTTAAAACCCAGAAGATTAATAACCCTCTGCTGATGAGGAAGGAAGGGACAAAGTGAGATTTGGGGATCATATTGACAATGATGTTGCCTTAAAGCAGATCTTTGACAACTGAATAATATGGAGAACTACAAATTTATCAGTATGTAACCTGTAGGAGGGTTGATGATGAGGAGTTAATAACTTGTCTTTGGAAATTATAGGAACAGTTTGTATAGAGAACCAAACAGATTGTCTTGATGAAGATATCAGTATATCAAAAACTGCTTAGTGTCCATTTTGATATTCTCTATTTATATTTTGCTAGTCGGAGAAGCCAAGGGTCAGAAAATCCTCCAGTAGACCTCCAATAAAATCTACTAAAAGTGCAAAAATAGAAGATGAGAAAGCACAGATTTTGATGACAGACACAGATTTTGATGACAAAAGTAAGAAGGAAAGTCTTGAAAGAACTTCAGATCTAGCACTTGCTAAAGGTAACACAGAATAATATATAGGCGATTTAAGGAAATATGGATCCGATGCTTAAGTGTTATGGAATTAATCTTATTCAGTCTTTCCTGTTAGAGCTACTCTCCAGCTTACACAAATGCCTAAATATTTGGGATGGCAGAATGAGCAGGGGAGAACTGGGAATTCTTTCTAGGACAACGTTAGCTGCACTTTGTTGAACATGTCTGTCTAAGAAGTAATGACTACATGTAGGGATAACATAGTCAATTTAATCTACAAATCATCTTTCTGTGTGCTGCGGTATTTATGTACATTAATGCAAGAAATATCCCTAGTAAATGTACATTATGTAGCTGTACATTAATGTAGATGTACATTAATGCAAGGTGATTAATGTACATCTTAGTTTAATGCAAGAAATATACCTAGTATTTACAGTATATGTCAAAACTCCACTCCAGATGCCACGGGTATCTAATATTATTAGAAAGCAAAGAACAAATTTGTTGTTGCATAAATATATTGAGTATCAATTTTATCTTCTTAATCTTCTAAAATTTCTGTTTTTCTTGAAGTGCTTCTTTTGTTTCTTCCATTTTCCCCCTGTATTTTTAGAATATTGCACTGTGCAAGGGGAAGGGTCCTGCCTTCCATATGAGCTTATCAATCAACAGTGCCCAAATCCTGAATTTCACACAAACCCATGTACTTTGTTATTTTCAACTGGTATTTCATATTGTAAAATTGAAAGTTCAATGTAAGGGAAGATACTTAATTTTATTAAGGATTTGATCAGCATGTAGGAAAGTGGAAGCATATATTTGGACTTTCAAAGCAAATTTTTTCACTACATTTCAGCACCAAGTATCTTTAGAGCAGACGAACCAAGAGAAGAAGTTCAAGGAGCAGAAGAAGTACAGGATGACAAAAATGTGAAAGTGGAAGTGCCTATTGACCAGGTAGAATTAAGGCAAATTAAAAATAATAATAAACAGATACATTTCATATGTATAGTTCAGCAAGCCCATAGGAGAAGACTGTGTATCAAAAATCTTCATTTCTTCTATTCATAGCTCATGATCATTTTGTTTAAATCATTAAGTCACTGCTTCATTAGATTCATTATATTAATTGTATTCAATTTTAAGTTAATTCTTGGGGCTTTTACAGGCATATAAATTTACACATCATAGTCATTTTATAATAGTTACAATAAATACTTTTATAATTCTGTAATACTTATTATATGCATAATGTTTAAAAATTTGTAAAGAGAAAAAGCAAATATAAGAATCTAACATAGATATCCTGTAGTCATCTTGATGCAGAAGAAAGAAATAGCCATGACTGTGCAGATGCTATTATTCATAACCTATGTTTAATAGTTTTGTTCTTAGACAGCAATAGGCTTAAACTGTAGCAGTATACATATGTATATATATATACGTATATGTATATATGTATAAACTGCTGGAAATGTAGGAAAAAAATCTTATCTATAGATTCGGATATATGTGACATCCTGGGATTTTGCTTTATGATATCACAAAAAAGTTAAAACCAATGTGATTTCCAACAAGAAGTATTTTTCGTTAGTCAATGAAGTTGATTTTAATATTTTGATATATATTTATCCAGCTCAATAGGTGCCTTGTATTTATCACACAAAATGGAGGGAAATAGAACTGTTTTGTGTCCCTTAAAAATCATGCACTTAAATTGTACACCAACATATGAGTTGGAAATGGGGTAGCATATATTCTAAAAATAGAGGCACAAAGAGAAGAAATTACTAGTAAGGATCCTGTGATATTTTATTTCAGCAATGTTTTGGAAGAGATCAAATTAAAAGATAGCTTTTTTTTCGCCTTTTTGCAAAAGCATCTGATGAAATATGCTAGTATCTTTCAGTTTTAGAAAGGGTGACCTATTCACCCATTCTGAAATCTGTCATTCAATTCTGTCAAGTCAAACTGCTTCTCACCCTAAAATCTTTCTTTAAAAAATTTTAAAGTGAATTTAAAATGTCAGATTGATAGCACAGAAAAAGCATCTGTTTATTCATGGAGCAGGTCTTGCTCAGGGAGCAGCATCGGCATGAAATATCATAGTAGAAAATTCATACATGCTTTGGCATTAAAATAAAATTTCTCCATAAAGTGCAAATCACAAATGGAAAAAACACAAGAGCATCTGGAAGATAGTTATCTACTATTGATACAGCTAACTACAGCACCAGTTTATTATCTTTTTATAGCTGTTGAGCTTCCTACTCTATTCTTTTGTGTATATGAAACTGCCTTCATTCTGATTACTTCTTACATTTGACAGTCCATTGAGTAAGGTCCATCAGAATATGTGTTACCATTTTGTTGTGAAGCCAGTTTGCCAGAGTTTCTCTTGCATGCTGACTTCAGCACAGAAATGCAGGCCGAAATGGCTCTAAGGCTAGACAGATGTAAGCTGCCCTTCATGGTACTGCTGGAGAACACATGATTGAACTATTAGAAAATAAAGGGATAGAAGGAGGGGATGGGGAAGAAGGGAAGATAATAGTCAATTGTTCAGACGTCATGGGATAAAAACATACAGAAAATACAAGGAACAGAAGTGATAAGGACCTAGAGGAAAGAGAACTGGAGATAATAAGAAAATTGGATGATGGGAACAAAAGCAGTATGCAAAGAGAAAAAGATAAAAAACGAGTGAGTTATGAAGTAAAGAATGTTGGGTTTGAGTAAGAGGGCACAATAAATATTTATGTAAAAACATAGTCATTTTTGGAATATACTTGTCATACATAATTATGATGTTCATTTTTCTCTGTTATAAGGTAAACAGCTGGGGGCTATATCAATATTTTTCTTTGCTTGAAGAATCAATATGCAAAAAATCAATCTTCCAGAGAGCTGTTTTGCATTGGTAGAATTTTATATCTTCACTTTAAATGATACTGTCCTTGGAATGCATTTAGTTGGGTAGTTTCCACATATTTATTTTATTCATCTAATAAGATTCCCATAATACTATGTAAGTATTGCAACATTCCTCTCTAGCAAAGCTGTTTAGTTAATTTTCTCTTTTCTGCCCTTTACCCCTTTTACCCAGTTTTCCACGAATGGTTACATATAATCCCTTTTGATAAAATCCAACATGTCCGCATTTGTCTTTGCAAAATAAACTATTTTTGCATTATACTTCTCTAAGTTTTATAACATTATTGAAAAGCAAACCAAGCATTTGGACAATGGACCAAAGATTTCTGCTTATTCTCCTCTGCTAGTACCAGTGATATCACTGTTATGGCATGCTGAAAATACAAATTGATTGTGAACCAGCAGGAAGGGACAACTTACTTTGTTAAAATACTAAAAAAAAAAAAAAAAACTCCTTCAATCCTTGTTTAAATTCCTGTAAAATTTAACAAGATCAAAAATTACATTCTTAATGACGTGCTTCTTTAAAATAAGTGTTTTCTCACTAACCCTGTAATAAGACAAATATTAGCCTTTTCAATTTGGCAGAAAGTTATAATGCTTTTAGTCTTATAATTGTGAGATATTACTATCATTGTTCTAATTCACTTTCAAACACTATCATTAATTCTGATTTGGCTAAATTATTTATAAAAGTCCTGAATTTCTTTGTGAATATGAAATTAGCATAATTCATTTATTTCACTACTCTGAGCCAAATCCTCCAGCTCTTGCTTAAGCAAAAATCTTGCTGAAGTGTATATTTACCCTGAAGTAAAATGAATTTTGACTTGAGTAATATCTTTAGATCAAACCTTCTATTACTTAATTTATATGTAAATGCTTTTCTGTATATATATTTTGATTCATGAATTAAATAAATCAATATTTGATTCTTTGTATTTTATCATTGAATATTAGTTAAAAATAAGCAAACAAAAGTTAGACGAAATTAATGATAAAAGTAAGAATGAAAATATTATAAGTGAGTTTTAATGAGTAGTATACAAAAGCTGTAAGTTATGAATAGCTCATTTGATTTTTATGTATGTAGATCCCAGCTGAGATCGTACAAGAGGAAGAAATTACAGCACCTAGCAGCAATGCTGTGGATGAGGTTAGATCTCCTTTTGTTTTGTTAATGTGAAAGTGTAATTATTTTCAATGTAAGCTAGATCTTTCAAGTAGAATATAAAGTATTTGCATTTGATTCTGAACATGAAACCCATTCTGGTTTTGACTAAAGGCTGCAAAGCAGACCCGTTGTGCCCGAAACCTCACTAACCCGTTTATGTCAGGACAGGCATGTGCATTATTAAAAGATGATGAAAGTCTTGTAGGATTCAATAATCAGATTCCTGTCATTATTACAGTAGTAACTCATGAAATTTCAGTATCGTTGAATCAGTTTTAACTGGAAGCTTGAAATCTATTTGTCTTATCGTTTAAATACAAACACTACTTTTCCTTTTGGAGTCAAAAATGAATGTGTAGTATAACATACTTGTTTTTATCCCATTAGGTACTTGTCCTGTAAAACATGGCCTATATATTTGCTCATTCTTTAACAGCATTGGAAGAGAAGAGGCACTTTTTAAGATTCATGTTCTAAATTCTTTGTCAGAAATCCTCATTTCATATAAATTAGTAGGAGTTTTGTCTGAGTTCAGTAGGGCTAGTAAACTTATCTTGTATGTATGCTTTGATTAATCTGGAAATGATTAATGTGAAAAGCATTGCTGCTATGTCAAAATGACTCCTTCACTGAGCCATGTGTCTTTCTGTTACTTACGATAAAAGGAATGCCAGTAATCCAGTTCTTAATATATTTAATGAAACAAAAACAGAAGCAAATCTCATTTTAAAAACAGGATTTGATTATTTACTGAAATATGTATAGACTTGCACAACGAGTGCCCAAGCTGTCCTGCAGCTTCTGAGTTGTAGCCTATCTCAAGTTGAGTCCAAAGAAAGAATTTGGCCTTCTGTACTCGTGTTATAAAGAGTGCATGCAAATTCACCAACACATATATACCCCACACAGATATATAGAAATGAAAAAAAATTGATATATCCCTTCAGAATGTTATAACCCTTCAGTACTTCTGCATACCTTGTTACGTTACAGCAAAAAAGCTTTTATGTTTTCTTGTTTCTGCATTTCTAGGAAAAACAGTACAAGGACTATAGAGATAAATACTTTAAAAAATGTATGCATAACTTGGATTTTCAATTGGAACAGTTGCATATGTGAAAGCTAAATGTTATTTATGTGTTTTCAGTGTGTGAATCCTTCAATTAAGGCAACATTGAAAATGCTGTTAATGTGACTGCAGTTAAAAATTCATTGCATTAACTGCTCTATATTTTTTGGAATAGGTTGAAGCAGATGCCTTGGCTGATTCTGAAGAACTTCCAGAAAAGGTTTGTTTAAAAGAGAAAAAGAATTAGCTGCTGTTTCTTGAATAGAAGGGTCTTGAAAAGCAAGCAGTGCTAGATTTCTGTATACAGATTTCTGTATAAAGAGTGTAGATTCATGTTAGAGTGTAGAAACAGTGTTAGAGAAAGTGCAGCAGCACTTTACTATCTGCCTGCATAAACCTGGACTATCATGAGCACATACATAGTAACTGGTGAGTACAGAATACAGTTATCTCTCAAATTGTAGGCCATATGTGTAAAGACATAGTCACAATTGCCACAGTTTCCAGCCTATGTAGCAGTATGGAAGTCTGCAAAAAAATGCCTCTGGCAAGACTGTGAAAACTGCACATGGTAATAAACATAAAGTCAAAATCATGAGCAGTTGCATGCAGAGCGATAAGCGGGTTTAGATCTAAGTCTATGTGTGAAAAAACAGAACTATAATAGAACGTGATGTGACTAAAAATCAAGATTTTCTACTGGAGAGAAATCAGTTTCTATTAATTGTCTTTATTTTCCAATCAGGAATTGAGACATTTTGAATTCAAGCCTTTTGGATTCAGAACACAAGCTAAATTCAAAATGTTTCAATTAGTTTGGGACAAAAGCTCATTTCCTAATGAGCTGTAGCAATTAGAAGCTAGAAGTTAGAACTGTTGTATTCTAAAGTGACTTTGAAAATATATGTCCTTTAGTTCCTTTTTTATTTTCATTGAGTGATTTCAAGGATGCATTTTCTCATTTTACTTCATGTGACGTAGGTAATATTGGCAGGAATAGGCCCGTAATGAAAGATTCTGTTGATGATTTATGAGCAATAGTCAGACATGGGACATTTTTCATAGTTGCAGTGTCTTTGCAGTGCTAATTAAAAAAAAAAAGTACAGTACTGGCTTATATTTGGCAGATAATCATCAAGCATTACTCAGATATAGTAGAAAAACAGATCTCTTGAGTAAGATTCTGCTAAGTCAGCTTTACTAATCTACATTAGATCCCTTTTAAGTGATATATTTTTCCTATATACCTTTAAGGAAAAGTTAGATAAATTGACTCTGCATGACACCTTTATTTTGTAGAAAGAGAGAGAGGATGATGAGCACGTGCAGAACTCTCTACATCTAGAGAGCAGGATGGAATCCTCTACTGGAAAGATGTTAGGATAATTTTTCATTTGAGATGAGCAGAATCTGTTGTGATTGGACCTGACATAAGTTTATTTTGAAATATGCAAACCAGGTTCCATTTAAACATTTGACATTTGATCATTTAGTTTCCTGAAATCAAGAGATTTTAATTTTCTGTACTGAGTACCCATGAAAATACTTCACATTGCATGTAACATACCAATTTTTATTTCATAGACAACTAATTAATAGAGTCTTATTTTGAAGTTTATTAACAGTAACCTTGCTTTTCTTTTTCTAGGACATTTTAATGATTTTAGGTTGAATGGTTAGTACTGAATATTTGTGCAATGTGTTAGCATTTGAAAGACTTATCTTGCTTTCCTTACAAAAAGCATAGGAACTGAGAATGTGTCATTTAGGTATTTCCTATGAGCATTTCTTCTTAAGGATATGAAATGTATTAGAATACGAGCAACTGTGATGGTCTTCTGTAGGAATTCTCCTACACAAACTCAGCCCTGCTTAAGTCAAATGGATAATTATCCATTGTGAGGAGGCAACTTTTTATTAGATTTTATACATCTAGATGTATAAAGCCAGAACAGTACTTTCAGCGAAATAAAATGGTACTAATCTACTTTGAACCCAGACTTTCACTTAATCTCTAGGTTTTCCTGTTATCTAAAAAAGGCTTCACATAAAATACTAGAACAATTTGGGGGATCTTTTGAAGCTCCATATCCTGTAGAATTAATAGTAACCAAGTAAGAAGGTACTTAAAAGGTTTACTGAACTTTTATTGCATAAACATTGTAACTAGAAATTCATTTATAGATAGTTTTCCTATGTCCTTCTTTTTCATTGTATTAAATTACACTTTTAGATATGAAAATATTATATGAAGAACTGTGTGGCTCAATAAATACTCATAAGATGTGTATCTATCTTAATTGTCTAGCTGATTTAAAGTTGTTGAAAGCTGAGATTCTGCACAAGAAAGCAGAAGAATCTAGTTATTCAAAGAGTCAGTGCTTGCAGATGTCAAAGTAATAGTATGGAATTGTATCCTTTGTGTACCAATTTAGGGTGGGTACACCTGTGGATTAAATTAATCAGTTATGTAATTGAACTGAGTTATCTTAGATATTCTGCTTTAGAACAGTGCATAATAGGTGGTGATTTATTAGTAATACTTTCTTAGATTCTGCCCTTGAGTCAGCACTCTTGAGTAGAAGCTGCCATTAACTTCTGCCTAAAAGTGTACAATACAGCCAGAAGGCCAAATGTTACCAAATTATACAATATGTTCAGTGAATGAAGTTGAAAAAAATGTTTGCAGATGTAGAAATAAATAACTGAAGGCAAATTACTTAAGAGTTGTGCATGAAAAAGACTTTAGTTCAGCTTCTTGCTAGAGAATTTTTATAGTGTTTTATCCATAGCATTTTTTAACTTGACATGTCTTACAGTATTTCCTTGAAGTATTTCTGTGGCTTATCTTACTAACTTGAAGCTTTTAATTATATACAGCATTCCATAGTTCCAGTCCATGCTCAGCTGTATCTTTCACTATTCCTGTAAATAATTCTTCCTTATCCTGTGGACAAAGATCTTTTTTTGAAAAATGTGTTGGAAATTTTCACTCATTTAGTGGGAAAAATGAACAAAAAAGAATTCACCCTCTTGAACATGGTTTTGTAAATGTTTTTAGACAATATATAAAGTATCTCTATATATTTGTTCTTCTAATCATTCCTCATAAATCACTTCTTACAGTTCTGAAATCATTTGATTTCTCTAGACCTTACAAAAAATGAAATCCTGATAACTTCCATTTCAGGAAGAGAAGAAATCATGGAGTGTCAAAAACATGTTTGACTTCATTCGCAGAAAGTCTGCTACTTCAGAAGGTATGCTAGCTATACAGGTGTTGCTGAGTTTAAAAGAGCTCATTTACCAACAAGTTTACAAAAGAAAATAATGCATTAGAATTCAGTCACCTGCCGTTAGAATGGCATATTTTCAGACTGTTCATATCTAGTTTAGCTTGGCTATACCAAAGCATATAGAGTAAAACTCTTCAGTCTGTGGATTTGTAATTTTATCTAAAATCTTTCAAACGTGTATATTTTGAAGAAGTTACTGAGGGAATGAACATGGATTAGATGAACAGTCACTTCATTTCCTTCATCGTGCAGAGATGAATTCCTCATGGAGATTGTCAGCCATTGTTAATATAAGATTATTTTGCACTTCTTATGTAGTAGTTAAATGGGCAGTGGCTATTTCATGACTTTGGATTACCAAATTGATTGAGAAATCATCTGTAATAGTTCTGATGAAAAAAAAAGTATCTTCCTAAGGCCTCTTAGGAGGTAAGAAGGAGGAGGTATGAATTTGATTCAAACATTTTCCACCGAATGTGTTTATTGGTGATAGGTTAGAGCTTACTCAAAATTTAGTAATATTCAATTTTTAGTAAACACTTACCTTAGGATCTGTCTAAGAAAACTCAGAGTCATCTAAATTAAGTTCAATTGTATCAAGTGCAACTGAGTAATCTGACGAATGTGTTTGATGGACCGATATACTGCTGTGTACTGACAGATTGGTTTGGACTGAGAATGAGCATCCTTTGAACCTTTTCTTCTGGTTTCTTGAGAATTCCCATTATCTCATCTAAATTTGAAAAATTAACTGCTGAACAGCTAATGATCTGTTTTGGGTGAGCCTAAGCTTTCTGAGGTTTTGATATATAACTACTACTTAGTCCAAGAGCCTCGTATATTGTTCATCTCTAAACTGTGAGGATTTCACAGTGCTTTTATGCAGAAACTTCCCCGCTTCAAGGGAAATAATTATAACCTTCCTTTTTTTTCACCTTTTTTTTTCCTTGTTACATGCCTGAAATGTGCTATAGTCACCTATCTTTTTCATGTTCATGTTCGTGTTTCTAGATAATATAAAATATATTAATATGATGCAAATACCTGTTTTGTTGTTCACTTAAGCCCTGCAGTGTGCTGGATGCAGAAGTAGAGATGCTCCTATTCTTTTCTGAGAGGCTTTGTTGTATGGAGAATGACAAGGAATCTGGAAACTTGGGATTACTAAAAAATCCCAAATCTATCATTGAGGAATTGTACAATTTTTTATAAGACATATTTCATGAGGTTTCAGTACTCAAAGAGTAGACTTTATCTATAGGCGCTGTTAGTAGGATCAGAATCAGCCCCACTCTCTGCTTCTTCAGTTGCCAAGGTGCTTCTCATACCTTTTGTCCTCTTTTTCAAACACAAAAATTGCTATCAAAAGATTTAATGTCGTCTAGACAATTTTGATATTAGGATGAGATTTCCCACTTATTCCCAGTGCAGAAAACATATTTCTCCTATGAATATCTAAAAAATTATGAAAAGAGATAAGCCTCTCAAGGGATCAATTCAGCGTATAATAAGAAAGGCATCTGTGATAGAAGAATAAGCCTGTGACGTTCCTCTCTCTCTCCTTTGTGTACAGAGAAAGTCAGGCCAACTGGTTTAGGCTTTTAGAAGGCTTTTAGTTTAGCTGATGATGTCACCTCTCCTTAATTTCAATTGAAGAATTTCAAAAAAGAATTTGGGTGTGAAACGGCAATGACTATTTTGTTGGGCATTATATACATTTGCTTATAACATGGCAGTGCGCCCTCTTTCAGTTTTAGGATTATCTTGTGATAGCTACATATAGTAGCACGTAACGAGGACACAACATTAATTATTCCAAATTTGCATTCTCCGTGGATCCTGAGTACATTATGTCTTTAACTGTAGGATGTTCCTTGATTGTTACAATGTGCTTGACTATTTACTGAAGTGGAACTCAAATAAATGTATTTGAAATGAATTCCTGACTCATAACCTGATTTATAGAGTCTTCCAAGTACCTTCTGCCATATCACTCCGTAGTAGTATCTTTTTTTTTAATAATTTGTGTGCATTCTTAGTAATTCATCCCATAACACTGGACACTGCTTTTTTGTTTGTTTTTGTTTGTTGTTGTTGTTTTTCCTAATGTTTTCCTTAGCTAATCTTTTCTGCGAGAAAATTCAGCCTTTTGCTGAATTTTAGCTACATTAGCTATTCAGTTTGAGATGGGCTTGTATTGCTTTACCCCTCCTTGAGATTTATTATTTTGTTGCATTCAAGGCTTCTCAGAAATACTTTTTCAATAATGAAATGAGAGTTTATTCATTTATAGGGAAGTGGAGATACAGAATATTCTTTGTAAAGGGTACATTAACTGTGAAGAGACTGATGTATATATCTCACAAAAAAAGTTACACATATGAGAAAAATATGTATAAGATACATGTTTGCTGGTCTTCTTAAAATCATATAGCATCTCGGAAATGTACTTTCAGGATTACTGCATTTTGTTCCTCATGGAATTCTGCTTCATATAATCTCTGAAGATCCAGTGAAAATACTGTATGTTTTTGTCAAAAGCCCTGCATACGCTGAGCTGGTATTCCTGCCCTTGTCTGTACTTCTCCATGCTATTTTGCGCTGCTGGACACTACATTTCATTTGTACCTTTCGTTTATGCCGGGAAGCGCTGGCGAGGAGCCCCGTTATCCCTGTGTTGTCTCCGTTTGCTGTAGTCGGCCCAGGCGGCCGCTCCTGGGTGTGTGAGGCGGCCCGTGTCCCGTGTCCGGCCGGCGCTGCGGGTGCCCCCTGGCACGGCTGTCCGGGTGCCCATGTGTTGGGAGGAATTGCGGGATGTGTCGGGAGGAATTGCGGGATGTGTCGGGAGGAATTGCGGGATGTGTCAGGAGGAATTGCAGGATGTGTCGGTTGGAATTGCAGGATGTGTCGGGAGGAATTGCGGGATGTTTCGGGAGGAATTGCGGGATGTTTCGGGAGGAATTTGAGGATGTGTCGTGCGGAATTGCAGGATGCTGTAGGCCTCACCCCTGCGCCCTGGCTGCCAGGCTGTGCTCCTCTCCTCAGTGCAGATGTGGTAGATGTTCAGTCTGTGATTTACCAGCTGTAGATGAGAGCCAATGCCAGGAATAAAAGCAGGGTGTTTGCACCCATTTCGTACCAAGGAAGCACTGTCAGATAAGCAAGCTGAATATGTCCTGGATAATTTTTTTTTTTTGCATTTAGTTATTCAAATTGTGAATGTAATACACTACGTATATGTATGTATTATGTGTTGTAGGTGTATAGTGTTTTTAATTTTTTTCTTGTTTCCTTTTTAGTTTAGCTTTGTACTGAGACTGTTTTCAAAGCTGTTATCTGTGGTGCTGTTTTCATTGGCTCTGTTCAGGGAAATTGCCTACGTACCAGGCACCCAAGTGAATCAATTTTAATGCATATTAATTGTGTTATATATTATTGGTTGTTACCTTGACAAATCTGTGTAGAGGAGAAAAAAAGACTTCGACAATTTTGTAAAAGCACAAAACACTTGTATTCTCTTACTGTTTCTGGAGAAGAAAACTCATGGAAAATTATTTAAATGAAAAATTCTTGAAACAGAGGCTTCAGACTCACAGAAAGTCACAAATTCCATAAATGGTTGCATATATTCTGGTTCTGTACAATATACTAATAATGTTTTTATTGAATCTGATGATAACTAATTGTTCTTTGAGCTATGTATATTTAATACATTGGAAAGGGAATAGACAGCAGTGATCAGATCACAATGGCACTTCCTAACTATAATTTCTAGATTATTTATGTAGAATTGCAAGTTTGGCTCACAATTTTGGTTACTTTGAATATTGCTTTTGTATTACCTGTGCTTTTGCATTACCTGTCTTGGAGAGCTCTGAAAGATCCTGCAATGCACAGATCTGTGATTCACTTCTGGAGAATTTCAGATGCCTTTTATTTAACTGCAAGAAAACAACATTTCTCCCTATCCCTTCTTTCCTTGATGGTATATGAGGAACTGATGGAAAAATAAGTTCCTTCAGTGGAATTGTATTTTCACTAAAACCTAACTCTCTTTTCCTTGATCTCCAGTTTTCACTTTTAGCAAAGATACTTATTAACTCAGAAGGAAATTAGATTTTGGTATGAATCTCTGAGATAAAATTGCATACTGAGTAAAACACCTCTGATATAAAGGTATCATAGAGACTTATTTTATTTTTTTTCTTAATTTTATTTTTAATATTGACAATACAGATGTCAAAGATCAACCTGAAAAGCCTGAGGAAGAACCTGAAGAAGAAGAGCTGAAGAACAGCTAAAGTGATTTCAAAATCTATGTCTTGTGTTATACAGGTAGGATTAGAGGATGAATAATACATTCAGCCTCTAGGCCTGAATTATAGAAAGATTTCTATGTATGTTTAACTTACTTATCACATTGAATAGTCTAACAGAAGCTAGTATGCATGCATATGTACATATGTTTGCAAGATTAGTCCTTTGGCTTCTGAAAACAAATGTTTGGCACTTCATTATTCTATGGCTCTGTCATACAGAATGTAAGAACAGTCATCTGTATTTTAATACTGGCTCCCAATTTTTCCAGTGTAGGATTTTAATGTTGCAGGCTGAGACACACTTTGCAGTAAGAAATATATTTTACTACAGGGGATTGCCTTCTACACCATCAGTTAAAATGGGGTTTTGTAAAGAAACAAGCAATAAATTGCCCATCTTCCTTGCAGAATTCAAAATGTAAATCCTGAATAAGTGCTTATATGATCTTTATTCTTTATTGGCACGTATGTATATACTTCCTCGTAAGGTTTGGTTGGTACATTTAGAAATGAAGGTATTTAATTATTTAGTGGCTGCCAAATATTGTAATTTATATTTTACATGTTGGTGATGATTAATTCTTTTTGTAATTTTCTGATGAATTATTTCTGTTTCTGCCTAATCAGCAGGCATACTGTGAAATATAATTGCACTTGAAAGAAAATTACTGTCTCATGAGATGAACAAGTTTGATGATTAAATTACGTAGAATAAAGTAATAACACTCACATACCCAAGCAGAATGACATACCCGTCCTTTGTTGTGGTTTGATGACCTTTACAAAAAACAGAGAGTCATTTTAGAAACAATCCAGTGTATTTCAAGACAGAATATATAAAAGGAAATTTAAAGAAACCTAGATAAGCAATACTCTTAGGGAACATGTAAGAATTTCACCTTTGTTAAATTAAAAATACCAACCTTGATCTGGGTTCCGCATAACATAAATCACTAAGGTTAGAATAAGCTCTTAAACCTGATAAGAAAACATATTTGCTCCTAAAGTTAATTACTAAACTTGATCAGAAATAGGCTTGCAGCCTGGCATTTATATCAGTAGGAGACAGACTTCCGTATAAACAACATGAAATGTCTGTTATTTCATAAAGACAGAAAATAAATCCCTACTTACGCGCATTTTTTGTAATGATAAGCACCAGTTTTTAGCTGTATCTTTATATAATGTACTATTCATGAATCCTAGGCTAGTCTTTTGTAAAATATAAATCCTTGATTTGTGTCCAGACCCATTCTGGTTGAGAACCAGCATTCATGAGACTGAAGATTCGAAAAATAAAAAGTTTGACAGTCTCATTCCTTCCTTGATTGTATATGACAAAGGCCTTGATTTTGTTCTAAAAACTTAATCATAAGCAGCATGTGTACGTTTAATATTAGAATGCTGTAGTGAACAAACATGTCTTGGTTTCATATTTCAAGGGCAAAGATAGATTCATGACCTCTCTTAACCCTGAAATGCCTGTTGTGGGAGGACAGCACATTGATCCATACACTCTTAAGCATTGTGAACTTCTCATCCTTTATGTCCAAAGGGCCGTGCTGTATTGTGTTCTTCCCAAAGAGGGGCAGGGGCTGCAGAAAGTGTTCTCTGGTGTAATGATCTTGTGGTAATGACTGACTTTGGCATTATGTCCAGCTGGTCTTATGTGCAGAAAATATGATAGAAATAGCTTCTCTTACTGAGTTAGATTGCTTAGCAAAAAAAGTTACACTACTCTTACACTCTATGCAAAGCAGCTGTTGTGTCTGTCTGCAGAGGTAAAGAGAACCATATTTTGTTCACTTTGATTTACACATCCTTTTTCTATAGGAAAAGGTAGGAAGAAGAGTTTTTCTGAGGAAAGGTCCCACAGAAGATAATTACAGTGGAACAGATATCTGCCATATGCTCTCCCTTCCTTAAAGTCTTCAACACTGCAGTCAAGAAACACAGGATGGAAATGGGTGACTTAAAGGGCATGTGAATAAAGCAGAGTTACCCTATTATCTTTAAAGAAGTGTTAAAATGGAGTTTTGCTTTTTTTCACATTGGAAATGAATCATTTCTGTTCAGATGCTATCCGAAGGTGTTCTCAATAGAAGATACTGAAGTTCATTTGTTTTAGTTGTTTGCTTAGGGAGAGCTTTTGATTCCTAGGAGTTCAGGAGCTAGCTGTGTGATTCTGAGGAGGCACTAAACACTATCAATTGTACGGTTTTTTTAGGGAAAACATATGGGATGCACCATAACCATTTAGCAGAAACCAAAATTTTAAAATACAGAGAAACCCTCAGTTTAGCATGTTAGAACCACTATGTCTAGGAATAATATCTGATGTTACCTGTAGAATTATTACCTGTAAGCAGTTTTCTAGTAAGATAGAATTTAATTTGAATGTAGAAAAACAATAATTTGGGATATGTTATGTAATATAACGTACAGGCACTGGACTAATTAAAGGCTATGTCCCTTTATAGTGACCATTTAATATAGCTCTTAAACTTACAGTTCTGACATAGTCTTCTTATGTAGTTGTCAGAGCATGTATCCATATGCATGAAGTACAGCAGTCCTGATGCAAAGTAGAAAGCTTTATTTTTAGATATTTTCCAAATTTAACCTATATAAACGCAGATGAATGAAGATCATAGTATCATCTGTCAAATGAAGAGAGACTGAGAGAGGGGATCTTATCAGTGTGTACAAATACCTTGAGGAAGGATGTCAAAAGGATGCTTTCAGTGGTGGCCAGAGATAGGACAAGAGGCAATGGGCATAAACAAAAACACAGGAAGTTCTGAGGAAAATGTCTGATCTGTGAGGGTGACAGAGCACTGGCACAGGTTGTCCAGAGAAGTTGTGGAGTCTCCTTCTCTGAAGATATGCAAAACCCACTTGGATGCAATGCTGTGCAATGTGTCCTGGTTGTGCAGGAGGGTTGGACCAAATGATCTCCAAAGATCCCTTCCAATCTCAACCATTCTGTGATTCTGTGATCTGCAGTCTAGTCAAATTTGTATGCTACAGGGAGGTCATCTCAAGCCTTAGGAAAGAAGCAACGCACATACCATATGGATTACAGAATCATAGGCTGCTCAAAGTGGGAAAGAGCCTAAGGAGGGTGTCTAGTCACTCCTCCCTGATCAGAACAGCGTGTACCAGAGCAGGTTGCTCAGGCTTGTCTCCAACTGAGTTTTGAAAATCCTCAAGGATCTACAATCTCCAAGTAACCTCTTCCAATGTTTGACCACTCTCACACTAAGGAAAATTTCTTATAGTTAAGTGGCTTTTCCTGTATGTCAGTTTGTGCTCAATCCCTCTCATCCTGTTTCATCTCTATTCCTCCCCAACCTCCAGCCCATCAGCTATTTGTACACATTAAGATCCCCTCTGAGCTGTCTCCAGTCCCAGCTCTCTCAGCCTCTCCTCATGTGTCAGATGCTCCAATACCACCATCTTTTTGACCCTGAACAAAATAATTGAAGAAGAAGTATAAATAGGATAGCCCATCGCCATGGCACTTTTATGGGGACCACTCTCCAGAGACAGGGTTATTGCCTAGGGGAAAATGCCACATGATAGAATGTTATCAAAGAGCATTTTTGGAATATCTCAAGACATTATGGGATGATTAGGGGAGAAACCAAAGGCAGGAAAGGGGAGGGTTTGAGGTCTTTTGGGGAGGAACAAGTGTGAGAAAACAGATGTGTAAGGGCATAAAAGGACTGGCTGCATGTAAACCAGTTGCTGGTCAGTAAACTTGTTTGGCCATGCAGTCTGTCCTGTCTTGTTCTGTGTCTAATGATTTTCCTGCTTAAGGGGCTCTTTGCTGTGTGTTCCTGCATTTATGTAGAGGTCTGAGTGGCAGCCACTGGAGTCAGATCAGAGGTAAGAGGACCCTGTGTCTGCAGTGCCAGCAACCACAGCAAGTGAGGTAAGTGAGCCAGCGTGTGACTGCCAGCAAAGCCAAGCTGGATTAGCCAGTGAGTAGGTTCAATGGCCTGGGAACCAGCTATATGCCTGTGTCTAGAGATGAGGAATCAGATACCGGAGGGGCCAGGGAGCCCAGGCCAGCTGCTGGAGATAGCCTGGCATCGAAGGTTGACTGAGAGACCCCCATTTACACGTGTGAGAGTCTCTGTGTGGGAAGCAGGTGGGAAGACCAGGCATCCAAGCTGCCAGTTGTTGCTGGAGAGATCCACATTGTACGTATGTACACTTCCACTCCTGACCGCCTTCCTGGTCTTCCAGAGAGGAGAGCAGGATGAGGCCATTAGTGCTATATGTGGTTGTGTGAATGCTGAGGGTTTCTGCTTCCTGATCTGTGTGGCCAGCTCTCTGTCTACGTATGTATGTGTTGCATGTATGTGTGTATTCATGCTTACAGGGAGCACATGCTTAGTCTCACTGCTGGTTGGACCTGGGGGTATGGAGCTGCCTCACTCCTGTCATGCTACTGGATTTGACAGCCCCTAACATCTGTCACAACGAGTATTCCCAAAAGGGCATATACAAAACTTCCCATGCGGGGAGGGGACTGATCCTTTTGCAAATGAGTTAAGAGCTATTTATCAACCCTTTGGAACACTGTGGGGGAAACTCCTGGTGCAATGGGTAACTGGATCGAGAACAATCCACTCTGCGAAGACTCAGGTGCACATCAGCTCCTGTGGGTGGAACTGCTTTATTTGAATAAAATGAAAAGTTAGGAGCACATATTCAGGTTATTTTGAAAGCAAGCAGACCACCACAAATTGAGGCCTAAATTGTAATTGCCGTGAAGGTGGTAAAAATGCAAGAGAAACAGCCAAAAAGCAGAGATGCAAAGAACAGCCAGGTTCTCTGCAAACCACTCCTTGGAATTTGAGAAATCCAGTTACAAAGAGATATGTGCAGTTCAGAAAGAGTTTTAAACTTTATGGAGTCAGGCAGCAGGACTCTGACTGCTACAGGAAAAGCTATGGGCCTTCAAGAGGAACAGAATGTGCAATATGAAACCTCATCTTCCTATGGAGGATTTGATTCTTTTGCCTCTCTCCCCAGGGTTTATTTACAGTAAATACTGTCCCAGTACCAGGACTGAGTTGGATCTGACAGTTACTGGAGCAGGGTTGGAGATGTGGCTGGGACACAGTGCCCAGGCATTGCCAGGGGTTTGCTCATCCCATGGGCCATGGACTTCCCTGGTAGGGTCCAGGAAAGAGAGGAAGGAGAGACTGGGCTGCCCTCCTGTCACCTTCACCCGCCCTCCTTCCAATAACCGTAAGGAGTTTGGATCAGAGCTATAGTCATTAGAAACTTGTGCAGGAACCAGACGGTCCCTCAGTGGGCCAGCCCAAAAGGTTGTTTATCTGGTTGCACTCATAGAGTCGGTGTCAGAGGCTTTCTTGATGGTTTCCTGCAATATCCAGGCAATATGACTTGTTGGAGGGAGGAATGTGTAATGTAAGGGAATAGCAAGGACAAGCACCTGAGCTGACCAGCTCCCAAGAGAAACGGGACAGGTAAAGAGGGAAAAAAGAAGAGTGGAGGAGAAGTTTCAGCCCTGGAAGTGTTAGGCGATGAGTATCACTGATGAAATATATGCTTTATTTATATATTTTTATATATGAGCTTCTCTATGATGTTTCTATGTAGAGGAAGGTTTCCCCGTGCGAGATCACTGCTGTCCATTTGGCAAGAGACTGGCAAACTGTAATAAAATGCATCCACACAACTACACACATTCTGGTTAAATGGCACTGGCTCCATGCTCATATTTGGTTGTATGGGAAACAAGATATTCCCCTTTCACCAGGCTCAACTGATGGAAAACCTGGGGCATTTATCAAAGCACAGTGAAATCACAGAACAGAGCCAGGCTAAGGCATTGCAGGCTGTAGGTGACATCGCTGTCCCCAGCTCTGTGATGTCACCGCTGCTATAGGAACCGTCAGGCAACGCACCTGGCAGTCGGGGAGCATGGACAGATGAGAGAGGAAGCAACATCAGCGCTGGCAGCAGCTCAACCAGCAGAAGGGAACTGGTTCTTCATGGTCCTGGGAAAGACTCTGCTGCCAGTGTGAGGAGCCCAAGGCAGCTGGGTGGTGCCAGCGCGGCAGGCGTGTGCGCAGGGGACATCCGCCACCCACCCAGCTGGGCACAGGGACGAGGAACGTGAAGTGATGTTCTGCTAATGTCACCAGCTTGAGCAAAGAAGCCAAACAGTCACCAGCAACAACAGCTGCTAGCCAGTGCGGGAACATCTCTGAACCTTGAAACAAACTTCACCTGCAGAATCTGCGGAGCAAAGAGGTAGTTGTCGTAAGGGAGGCAAGATAAGATACGTACCTATAACCATACTAAAGGCGGCAAGGTAGTTCAAGGGCTGAAGGAGTGGCCTGTCCTTTCAACCAGGGCTCGTTGTGTACCAGTTCAAGAAGGACTTCCCAAATAGGCCCTTGTTTCCAGCCTATTGGGGCCCGCTCGGGTGCTCACTAACATAATAGTGACCAGTCCCCAAGCCATGCCAGAGGGACTTCACTAACGTGCTCCAGTGACCAAGCAGCAGATAACAGCAATATAAAGTCTCATACTGTGTAAATAAAGTCCATCCTTTGACTGTTCAAGTGGCAGGCAAAGCTTTGCCAGTAGGGCCAGCAAGTGCAGACACCAGTTTCTGTGAGCAAAATCACATTGCCAAAGGTGAGTGAAGCTTCTGCAGCCAGCACACAACCAACCCGAATACTAAGGAACCACTCCTAAAGTCATAGCTAGAGAAGCCTAATAAGAGCAAAGACAACCCAGATTCCAAGGAAATTTCACTCTTTTGAGGTAAGATGGCTAGTCAAAGCAGTAGCAAGCAAGAAGAAAAGCAAATAAGTCATCAAGGAAAAAAGTCAGATGATAGTTCTGGAAGCAAGGCTCTAACCGTTTCTGCAATGGTGTCTGTTGCTTCAGACATGATGTTCTCTTTGCTGGAAACCATGCAAGTACAAAAGAAAGAAGGTAAAAAAGTGCCAGCTTGTGTATTTCTGAAGAAAGTTCTCCTGGAACACACCAAGGAAGTCATATCTGACCTGATAGACTCGACCATGAAAAATCTGCACAGTGTCACTGGAGTGCTCATGAAAGACACTGACTTTATATCAACACTGAATAAGAATCTGTTCAATGTAGGAAGCCTGAAAGCTGCTGAAATTTTGGATGCAATGGTGAGACGCCTGCTTAGGGATTTATCAGATGATAGAGGGCCTGCCGCTTCTCAAAGCCTAGCATTTACAGCACTTAAAGCTAGGTCCCAGTCAGATGTAAAATCTCAAGGCATGAGAATTTCAGCAATGAAGGGTGAAATGCATAATCTAGGTAAAGATAGGGACAGAGGAGCCAGTACGTCTCACTCATCGGAGAAGTATTCAGAAAAACATTCCTCAATGGATAAATATGCAAAAGATCTTATCACGACTGCATTAAAGCTGATAAAACAGTATTTACTGCATCAGACAAATGGTAACTCTTCTGAGTATGGCGGCTCTTCCTTTGGGTATGTCCATCGAGATACTCACTTAGAAAATGCTGGGACATGCCACAGCTCAAAATCCCTCGCAGCGTATTCAAGAAGTGATCTCCATGATCAATCCGGTTTTCAAAAGGGAGACCTAGCAAGTAGCTTCTTAAGCCTCATACAGAAGCTCATATGTGAGGCAGGCTCCAGCATGGATGAGAGCTCCAGTGAAACACACAGGAGCTCTAACAAGTACGGCAATGCAAGTGAGTCCCAGAAACAAGTTTCAGTCGGACAACCATGTTCATCCATGGATCAGCTTGATGGTTTAAGTCAAGTAAATGAGCAATTCATTGGCCAACTTGTGGATTCTGTGATGAAGCTGTGTCAACTCATGGCCCAAGAAAGTGCTGCAGACTTAGCAAACGGCAACTTTTCGGATGATCACGCTGCTTCTTGAAAAGCCTCCACAGCTCTCTTAAAACCTTTGTAACATAATCAATAAAGAAAGAGAGGAGAAAGAAAGAGCTATGGCCATTTTATTTACTGTTCTTTTTGTTTGTTTGGTTGGTTCAGCAGTGTTTGAAAACAATCCAGACACCTTCCTGTTATAGCAGTCGATACCACATGTGTATGTGAAATCAAGGGATGTAGAGATGTAGAGCAGGGAGATAAATCAGAAAAGGGGGGAGCTTGGATGTGGCAAAAGGAGGTCCTGAATTACAAACACTGCCAAAGGAGCTTGGAGGTGATAGGCTTGGTACAATACTGGGTAGTGTCTCTAGATGCTGCACCTCTACTTCCCTGGCCCTTGCTGCTCTCCTCAAAAGGACCAGCCTGCCCTTAATGCCATTTACTACTTTTGTGATAGCAAGACTGGGAAGGGCCTTGCTCCCTGTATGCTGATGTTCCCCAGCAAAGCGACACGCGGGTGCAGGGGCTTGCATGGATATACACAGAGGTAGAAGTGTGTGGGTACATGTGCATGCCCGCACATGCAGGCAGCAGCGGGGAGAGAGAGAGGCAACTTGGGCAAGTTATTGTCTGTAGCAGAGCTTAGAAACTGTTTTTACTGTGGTCAGGTTCCCAGAAACCACCAGATGGTATAAATATTCTCTATTTAGTTCTTTCAAGAAGCCTGTAGGCCATTAGTCTGTTATGAGTCCTTTTACTTGATACCGTTTCTGATTCTGCCACCATAGGCTTTCTTCGTAATAAATTATACATACTGAGTGCAGTACTTATTCTGAATAAATTTAATGTGAAGCATATATAATACACAGTTAATTTTACATATATTTATATATTTATGTATGTATATATGTTTGATTTGTGCAAACTTATCAAACAGATCCCCTGGACTCGAGGAGAATTCAACCTCCTTGAAAACAAAACTAGTGATACTGCCTGCAGTTCCTAATTTGTCAACGATACTGCTGTGGAATAGACACCCAAAGTCTTCCCTGGCCACTGTGCAGAGCGGCAACATGAAGCTTGCTCCTTTTTTTTGGTGGAAGAATGTTACAGTAGTTACAGCCATGCAACAACCCCTCTGTTACCAGGTCAGGGAGTCTTTCATCTGACACGATGTCAGCAACAAAGCACAGGGGAGTCCAGGATAGTTTCCTGTGGGTTGAAAGCATCCAGCAGGATGTAGTTTTCCTGGGAAAGGCTGACACTCCTGACCTCATGCACAGATGCGGCACTGATCCATGTTTCAGACGCACTCTGTGCCAGTGCCCAGCTGCAGGGTGGGATAGCTCTCTAGTTAAACTACGCCAGTTTACGCTAACAGGGGCACTGGTCTACGGCTGTAGTGCTAGATTTGCATCTTACAAAAAAAAAAAAAAAATCCAGTCCGATTAGTGATAAATCCCAGCCAGGCCTTTCCTCATGGGCATCACTGAACTTTGAGTAGAATCATAGAATCATTATGGTTGTAAAAGACATATGAGATCATTGAGTCCAGCTGAAAGCCCTTCAACACCATGTCTGCTAAACCATGTCCCTAAGTGCCTCATCTACACATTTCTTGAACACCATCGGGAATGGTAACTGCACCCCTTTTTGGACAGCCTATTGCAATGCTTGATTACTCTTTCCATGTAGAAATTCTTCCTAATGTCTAACCTGAACCTCCCCTGGCACAACTTGAGGATGTTTCCTCTTGTCCTGTCAATAGTTATTCTGGAGAAGAGATCGACCCCCGCCTCACTACAACCTCCTTTCAGGTAGATGTGGAGAGTGATAAAGTCTCCTCTGAGCCTCCGCTTCTCCAGAGTAAATAACCCCAGCTTGTCAGCTGCTCCTCATAAGGTCTGTGCTCCAGCCCCTCTACTAGCTCTGTTGCCCTTCCTTGGACACACTCCAGTGTGTAGGTCTAGTCCATGGACTCAGGCTACAATGGGCAGCTTCTTGACAAAAATAAATCTTCATATCTTGCATGGAGATGGGAGGAGCAGGTGTGAATTCGGCAATTCTTGTACAGTTTCTGTCAGTCTTTTTAAGACCATTTCTTTTATGCTGGAGATAAAATGTATTTTATGTGCATGAGGCATTTGTTTAGCCTTGACCTTGCCAATTCAACTGTCAGGACAAGTTTCTGATTCATGTTGTGACCTGTTTTATGGCCACGATAGCTTTTTCATCCTCATTGCGTCTCTTGTTTGCATCTCTCTGCCCAGAGAGAAATGTTTATGCATCTAGTGTGCTTATACACATACGGTGTGCCAGATCTGGCTTCTTTCACTGGTATATTCTTTCTGTGATATCGTTAGCCTCTTACAGTTAGGTCCTGTTGGCAGCCAGGAGGTAGAGAGCACAAAGATGTGGTATACACTGGCATCAAGAATTTGAAAGAAAGCCACTTTGTTTTTCTTTGTCTCCATTTGTCACTGTAAAGGAAACTGAAGGCTGTTCAAGAACTAAATTCCGTGCTCTGTGTGTTTACAAAGTGGCAGTGTACAGATAACACGTTAACGCTGTAACAGATGATATTACAGCTTGGCTTGCTGACAGTTAGCTCTAAACGAATTCTCACAGGAGCTAGTAATGCTTATGGACCTCCTAAGGAGATGTAGCAGCGACAGGCATCACTCCTTGACTGCAGTTAATGCTACTTCTTGACATTGCAAGGATTCAGAGTCTCACTGAAATTGCTGCGTAAAGAACATTCTATCATCTGATCCATGGTGGCAGATGCATCCTGGACATGCAATGCCTACAGCCATGCTTCAGGGGGATTTACCATCTTGAGGTGCTTTCCTGGCTCTGAAGAATGGGTCTCCTGGGATAAAACTGCTAATATTGACTTCCACATAAAGAGAATTCCAGTGCTAATAGAGTTTGTCTCAAGTCAGTAGATATACAAACCCTGAGGAGCTTCACCACTCTAAGTGAACGATAGGCTGATCTACAGGCCAATCAGCCTCACCCTCATCCTTGGAAAGATGATGGAGCAGCTCATTTTGCATACCATTTCCAAGCGCATTAAGGACAAGAAGGTGATCGAGTGCAGTCGGCATGGATTCCCAAAGGATATCACATGGATTCCAACCTGATAGACTTCCCTGATGGAATGACTGGCTCGGTGGATGAAGGGAAAGCAGTGGGTGTTGTCTCCCTCGACTTCAGTAAGGCTTTTGACGCTATCTCCCATAATAATATCCTCATAGCCAAGCTCAGGAAATGTGGATTAGATAGTGAGATGAATTGGAAACTGGCTGAATGACAGAGCTCAGTGGCACAGTCTAGTTGGAGCCTGTAGCTAGTAGTACCCTCCAGGAGTCAATACTGGGTTCAGTCTTGTTCAACTTCTTCATCAATTGCCTGGGTAAAGGGACAGAGTGCATCCTCAGCAAATTTACTGATGATACAAAACTTGGAGGAGTGATTGATACACCAGAGCACCATGCAACCATTCAGAGGGACTTGGACAGGCTGGAGATATGAGTAGAGGAGAATCTCCTGAAGTTCAATACAGGGAAGTGCAGAGTCCTGCACCTGGGGAGGAAGAACCCCATGCACCCATACAGGCTGAGGGCCGACCTCCTGGAGAGCAATTCTACAGAGAAGGATCTGGGGATCCTGGTGGACAACAGGCTGACCATGAACTAGCAATTTGCCCTTGTGACTAAGAAGGCCAGTGGTATCCTGGGGTGCATTAGGCCAGCAGGTTGAAGGAGGTGCTCAGGCATGGTGAAGCTGCGTCTGGAAAGTCCAGATCTTGGCTCCTCAGTACAAGAAAGACATGAAGCTACTAGAACAAGTCCAGCAAAGGGCTACTAAGATGATTAAGGGACTGGAGCATCTCTCATATGAGAAAAGGCTGAGAGAGATGGGACATTTCAGCCTGGAGAAGAGAGGACTGAGGGAGGATTTTACCAATGTTTATAAACATCTGAAGGAGCAGTGTAAAGAGCATGAGGCCAGACTCATTTCAGTAGTGCCCAGCAACAGGGGAAGAGACAATGGGCACAACCTGAAACACAAGCGGTTCCATCCAAACACAAGAGAAAATTTCTTTATTGCGAGGGCAATAATGGTTGCCGAGGGTAGTTGTGGAGTCTCCTTCTTTAGCGATATTCGAAAGGGATGTGGGACTTCTAGAGAGTCCAGCGTAGAACAATGAAGATGATGAAGGGACTGGAGCATCTATCTTATGAGGAAAGATTAAGTAAGCTGGGCCTGTTCAGCCTAGAGAAGAGAAGACTGAGAGAGGATCTGATCAATATGTATAAATACCTGAGGGGAGGATGGGACCAAACTCTTCTCAGTGGTGGCCAGTCACAGGACAAGGGCTAATGGGTATAAATTAAAACACAGGAAGTTCAATCTCCATGTGAGGAAGAACTTCTTCACTGTGAGGGTGACAGAGCCCTGGCACAGGCTGCCCAGAGAGGTTGTGGAGTCTCCTTCTCTGGAGATCTTCCAAACCCACCTGGATGCCGCCCTGTGCCACGTGCTCCAGGTGTCCCTGCTGGAGCAGGGGCGTTGGATTAGATGATCTCTAGAGGTCCCTTCCAACCTCAACCATTCTGTGATCTATGAGCTGTCCAAACACAATCCTGGGCAGCATGCTCTAGGTGACCCTGCTTGAGCTGGGGTGTTGGACTGGAGGATCTGCAGAGGTCCTTTCCAATGTCAATCCTTCTGTAATCCTGTCTCCGTACAGTCTGACTAAAAATTGGAGATAATGCCAAACTTAATTTGACTCTGGGGTCCTCTGATGTCCCAATCTCACTTTCAGTGAAGCAACTATGACTAAGCAGCAACTCTGAAGGCGTGCGTAATGGTGTGCATTGTACATGGCACCTTCTGTAGTGTGTGCTGGTGCGATCCTGAGGCATGCACCAGGCAGGTGGCGAGAGTGTGGTGCGTGCTGGGGCTGGTGTTGTAAAGCACACGGTCACCCAGGACAGCTGCACCATCGTTGTGCACCCCTGTCTTGAGGAGTAACCT